TTTCACACCTTGGCTCAGGCGATTAGAGGATCATCAGGGGGTCCTTTTGTCCCTCTGTGGGGGGATACTCCCACTAGGTTTAAATCTGGGATTGAACTGAATAAAAATTCTATGGCTTTGCTCAGTGCTAAAGTGTTTTAGTTGGGTAGGAAATCTGTAATAATTGTAATACTTTTTTTTGCCAGAACTACTTGGTGTCAGTCAGAATTGTTTGGCGATTTAGTGATAGAATGGCTATGAATGTGAAGGAAGTTAAAATGACCTACAATCACCCTTCAGACAGGCCTTCACTTAAAATGTGAATCTCTTCACTTTAGCTAACCATATATACTGTACTTATTCAGGATGGCACAAAATTAACTTGAAAACTACCTCACCCCAAAATTGCATAAAACTACCAAACAAAATACATTTTTCAATTTCAAGTTTCAATTTCTTAGTTTCTATCACGGTGCATTAATTTTTTTTTAATGGTGTCCAGTTTGAGACCTTTGATTGTCAAACCAAACACGCCCATTATGACACAGAGGAAAGATTTACGCAGTGCTTTGTGCAACACAAACCCACAACTGCAAGTCCAGGAAGTGAGCTGTTACAGTCTACTAATCAGACTAGGTAAGTGAATCTGTAAAATAAGCTTTAAGCACATTTTAGAATTTACTGTAGCCATCAAACTAAGACTATTTTATTAAGAGCAAGATGCTCCATTCTGTGCATGGTAAATCAGGGAAAAACAAAGCTGAGTGCTTTATTTTAAGTTAATTCAAAATGTCTATCATCTCGTCTAGAACAATGGCTGGAGTTTGTGTGTAAGGTGGGGGACTCCCCCAAGCTTTTAGCATTCAAAATCTTGTTACTGTTCAATACTTACATTTCGTCAAACTATATCTATTTCATTTATAACCAGAAAGATGCATAAGTAAAAAATTAGATTAACAGCAGAACTGACCCGTGATTATTGTTATCGTGGTTTCTCAGATAAAGTTTTATACTATGAAACTTTTTCATTTCCTTCTTTTGTTCACCAACTGTATTCAAC